AAGTGCTAGAGTGATAGTGATTGAAGTAAATCTTAATTTCACATCTACCACATTTTTATTGTTTCTGCATCAATATGTAGGTCTTTTAAAGGGTGCTGTGTCACTTAATTGTACATAAATTCCACATGTTATACTTACTCTGGTTGACTGGTTAGTTGGTTTTCAGTCCTCTACTTATCTGACTTCGATCTTCTCTATTACATTGGCTTACTTAGTTTTAAAGCAAACAAAATTTCATCTTCTGTGACTATTTTCTGGAAAGCAGTAGTTGAGTCTTAGTTTTATTATTGGCATGAAAGACTCTAAAGTTGACAAGTTGTACAGAAGCCTTGCTACTATAAAATTTGAGAGGAAGAAGCATGGGCATAATTTCAGCTACTAACAATGGGAGTGTGACTATCTTAGGACCTGATTGAGGTAACTGTAATGTATGTGACAAACTATAGTGACATCTGAAAACCCACACTCAAATGTATAAACAAATACAAAAAGAATTCATATTACCTATTTCTTTCTCTATTTAGGTCAGTGGCCACATTGATACATTAGTATAGTCATAAAGATTATTATGAAGATATACCTCAAAAAGCAGACATAATTTCAAACAGTATTATTTGGGCCAAGAAAATGATATCATTCCCTGTATGTGGCAAGGAGACTGGACAGAAAAAGTCTTATTCTAAAATGACTTTCATTTTTCTCATCTCCAGTCCCCAACCTTGAAGTGGTCCTTAACCTGTTTTCTCAGGTGCTGATGACACAATGTGCAGATTGATAAAACTGCAAATTTAAATTTCTTTCACAGGAATTTTAGGGCCATTTGGCCAGCTTCTGTGTCACTAATTAGCTGTCTGCTCTTTCCTACAGCAGCTATTTAGCAAATTTATTCCTTCGTCAAATATTTCTTAAACCAGCTCCGTGCCAAGTGTTGTTCTAAGATCTGAGGATACAGCAGTGAATAATGCAGATGAGGAAAGCCCTGCCCTCAAGGAGCCTACCTTCTAGCAAAATACATAAATATAGGCAGTCCTGTTCTTGGTGTAATGCTGATGGCCCCAGCTTGTTAGAAACAGCGCCTATTTCTACATTTTGATGATGCTTCCCTCCCTTTACTTTTTTTTTTATAAAAGGATTTATTTACTTATGCATACAGAACTGCGTTACAGGGCAGAGTTGCGGGGGTGAGAGGATTCACCAGAGACAGAATGGGGAGCAGAACAGGCAGATGCAGTAGGCGTGTCGGGAGAGGTCGTCCATGCCATGTGGGTCACCTCCCTGACCAGGAATCAAACTCATGCTGCAGTGGCTTTGGAGAGCTTTCATTACACTACCAGGGAGGGCCCACCTCCCTTTACTTTTAATCGGGTCCCAATTTGGATAGTAAATTATAACCACCCTGGTTCTAAACCTTTTACATGTTAATAATTCATTTAATCCAAATAATCCTATAAGGATTAACATCCTTACACACGTATGAAAACTGTAGCATAGAGAAGTTAAGTAATTTGGTTTTGGTCATACTAGTAAGTGACAACCAGAATTTAAACCCAGACTACGGCCAAGTCCCAGAGTTTGTGGATTGAGTCACTCTTCTGGCCTTAGATGACTATTCTACATAATCACTGTCTTACTCTGACTGACTGCCTCTCCCAGCAAGTCAAAGCAGGTAATCTCATCTCTTTACAGAGAGAAATTTCTTTACCAGGAGTGAACTTCCTCAACTTGCTGCTCCCTCCTTTCCAAATTTGTCTTCATTTCTACTCTACCTCACTCCATCTCTCCGTTTCTAGGAAGAAACATCCTCTTTCTGCCTAGTACTTGCCTTTTAGCCCCTCTCATCCCACCTTATGATAGACTTTGCTGTCTAAATTACTCTTCTCTTTTTCTGGGCCCTCAGTCTCCATCTTTACATTGGTTTTCCCTATTCAGCATATAAGAATATCAATGCTGGAAGTATGTAAATCACTCTTTAGAGACGTTTTGTTGTTGGGAGTTAATTTTGTTTAAAATTTATTAAATAATAATACAGTAACAATAATTAGGTACCAATTACTCACTACTCTCCTTAGCTTCCAGGAACTGTAAAAATCTCTGGTCTTTTTACCAGTACTACAGACTCTTCTACAGATGAAGAAATAGAAGCTTGGCGAGCTTTGTAATTTCCTCAGTTTATATATAGTGTCACTAAATTCATATTCATATTTGTCTTACTCCAAAGTCTGTTCTGTTCCTAGTGTATCATACTAGTTTATCACAATTCTTTAAGACCTCCTTCAATCCTCTGCCTGTCCTTACTGCATGAAAGAGAATATTTAGTACTAATACACAATCTTCTTGCTTTTCATTTACTTCTCAACCTATCCTAGTTTGACTAGTGTGGGTTCAAGGTCCTCCAGAGAAACAGACTATCTAGTTCTCTGTATATATTTCAATATCTTTTTTTGTCTGTTTGTCAAAGTAAGGGGTGGTGGGAGAATAATTCATTTTAAGAATAATTGGATCATGTGATTATGGGGTCTGTTAAGTCTGAAGCCTGTAGGATACGCCAGCAGACTGGAAATTCAAGCAGAATTTCTTCTCTGTGGGAAAATTCCAGTAGAAACTGAGGTGAAAACTTTAGTTAGCGTCCATCAACTGGATGTGGCCCACCCAGATTTTTAAATTAAATTAACAAATTTAATTTCCCTTACCAAAAGTCCATTGATTACAAGTGTTAATCTCATCTAGAAAGTACCTTTACTATTCTAGCAACATCTAGATTAGTATTTGAACAAGCAACTGGGAAACCATTTTCACATCTTTCCTTTATCACTCTGCAGTATTTGACATTTTAGACTATGCCTTATTAGCCTTCTCTTTTAATTTCAGTGACCTTAATCCCCATTCTCTCTGTCCCTCTAGCGGTTCCTTTTCTGATATTTCAAGGACTTAATCTCCCAATTATTTAATGAATGACATTCTCCTGTCCTTAACCCTTTTATTAATCCCATGATTGATGTCTCTCAATCTAAAATTCCATTGTAGTCTCTTAGTTTCAACCCTATATCCAATTGCCCTATTAGACATTTACCCCAAGGTGTTGCAAATATCTCAGACTTTCCTTGTTTAAAATTAAAATCTTTTCCCTACCCTCTCATACTGATTTTTGCATCTCTTCTATTCTTAGTTTGTGGTACCCTCACTCTATATATATCCAGTTCCCAAGCCATGAACAAGAGAGGAATCCACAAGTTGTCCTTTCCAGTTACCATTTAAGACTTTCTCATTTCCACCCCTATTTCAACCAGGAGTGTGCCGTCCTCACTTTCCCGCACATGGAATCTTTATGGTCTTCCTGCCTCCTATCAATGTCCTTCCACTCTCTTTTCACTGCTGAACACTAATGCCAAAGTGATATTTTTAAAATGCAAATCTGTTTAATTATGTATGAATTATTCCAATAGTTCCTGATTGCTCGTAGAATTCAGATAGGACTCCTTATCTTACAAGTGTGTCCCCGATTTTTTCTCCCACTTACTCACCTGTCTTACTGTCAAGCCTTGTTGAAATATTTATAGAGCCAGACTTGCCATGTCCTGTAGTGCTGTTTATTCTGCATGCCCCTTCCTGTGTCCTTCCCCCCACCGGGGGGAAAGGGAAGGATCTAGAAAAGGTACTACAGTAACAGTTCTATCTTCTCCTTTAAATAATAACCTATTCCACAAATTGATTTGGTCATGCCTCTTTTATGGCATTAATATATACATTGTTTTCTACTCTACTACAGTACTCCTTACTATACTATTATTAAATCTGAGTGCCACCTTTCAATGGACTAGAAACTCTCCAGGTATTCCCACCGCCTAGCATATAATAGGTTCTGATCAGATTGCAGTGGTGGTGATGAAGGGCCCAGAGTAGAATTCACCATTCACTTAAATAAGGCCCTGTCTTTGACACAGATGTGTCCTTGGCATTTACACATGCATAAGGAAATGGTGGACATTGCTCTTCTTTGTCTCTTCCTAGAGGTTGCTGCTCCACCTTTTCAGACATGATTCCTTTTGATCTATCTATCTATCTATATCTATCTATCTATATATATATATATATATATTATCATATTCTGATACTGTTCTCAGCCTTCACTTTGCCTTTTTTTCCTTGTATTCTTGGAGCAGTTGGTGGGTGGGGGGAAAGGAAGTTGTTAAATTACTATTGCAAACTCCCACTGTCCATTTTCATCCTATCACAAGAGAAATCAAATATCTACTTACTCTTGCAATGCTTGTGTTCCAAAACAAGTCTTCTCTTGATCAGTTAAAAAAAAAACTCTCATAGTAAAAATATCTTTTCAATAGCTTTTAAATCTTTCTATAACCCCAGAATGTCTCTATACATTTAATATTGAAAGTTAAACCAGTTCTGTGTTAATCTTGAGAGAAGAAATAATTTTTTTTATTATTGTTAATAGGATCCTAAAGATTTCATGGGTCTTTAGCATGAAAATTGCAGGACTGAGAGTCCTGCTATCCACATTAGGGTCAAAGGATAGCAGAGTGGCCAGCATCTCTCCTAGACCTTTATGTTTCGCCTTCCTCTGAATACACTTCTGGAAGCTACTTGTGGTGTAACTCCTTATGTATTTAATATTTACTTGATGTAGTTTTCTTGACTGATTTTTTTTTAAATGGGTGAAGAATCTAGTTATGAATTCTTTGCCCTTTATGGAATGTGATATCTTGGTTTTGATTCCATCTGTCCCTCCCCTTAATTTTATCTTACTGTTTTTTTGCATTGTGTTTCCGAAATAATGGCTTTGGCTTGTTTTATCCTGAATGTTTCTGCAGTTTGGTTTGAGTTATCTGGCTTTGGGCACCCCTCCTGAACTTGGACTCCATCTGTACTTGTGACTTTTGGAAGGCAGAAATCAGTGTTTCTATGGAAGATGACCTTTTTTAAAAAATGTTATTTATGTGTGTGCCTTTTCCCTCCCTTCCTTTTTTGGTTTCTCTTAAAAGACCGGAAAGAAAGCAGTGAGAGCAGTCCTGTGGGTGTCAGCAGATGGACTCAGAGTTGTGGATGAAAAAACTAAGGTAAAATTTTGTGAATCGAGGCTATTGCTCATTGATCAAATGTGCATGATATAGTCAGTCTATCACTTTGTCTATAGCACAGTCTTCTAAGAGACTAGTTAATGTAGAGGAAACCAATTCACTTAGTCATTTATCTTACAAAAAATAGTTGTCTCTACATTTTGCTCTACATGATATGGCATGTTTAGCATACTTAAGGTCTGATTCAATTTTTGCTCTTATACACAAAAAAAGTATCTTCACAAATTTGATGTAGAAGCTGGACCCTTTAGCACAGTTAGAAAAAATTAAGAGGATAACAGATCACATATGAAATGTCGTCTTGTTCAGTAATTTAAAAAATGTGGTTTAAGGTCTCCCTAGTAGCACAGGGGTTAAAGTCTCAGTGCTACCAAGCTATCACCAGCCTCTAGTGCATGAGTTCAATCCCCAGCTAGGGAGCTGACCCACATGGCCCAGCAGACCTCTCCTGTCTCGCCCGCTGCTCCCCACTCTGTCTCTGGTGAATCCTCTTACCCTTTCATCTCTGACCTAATCCCAGTTTTTATATGCATAAATAAATAAGGTAACATTATGTTTTTAACCTGCTACTTAATTAAAATCCCAATTTAAGTGAAATTTCAAGAAACAGTAAATGGCTCGTTTGGTTAACTTAGAATCCACACAGTATCTAAAACCATAGGTAGCATTTTGCATTGGAGAAAAAGTGATCCTAAATACCAAGTAAAAATACATAAATTCTCCCCTTTGAGAATATGAGGTATTATGTAAGTGTGTTTATTTAACCATTCATTGATCTAAAGTCAAGAAATCTTAACAAGAAAGCAATTTTTCAAAAAATTCAAATGTTAGAGGAAGGGAAAGAAAGTCTGGCAGGTAATAAAGAGCAGTTTGGGCGAATAACTTGCCTGATAGATTTTAAGTGATTGAATAAGATTTTAAGTGAATTATGCTTCATTTTAGCTCTTCCATGTAAAGCCTTTTAAAGTTTAAGAGATGCAGTAACCTAAGTGTAGATTACTTACTGTTAGGAACAAGAGCCATTTAATTAGCATATTTTAAAGTGCTTTTCTAGTTTTCATTAATATTTAGATGAAATTTTTATGTGGAGGCTATATTTTTGTTTTTTGCCATGGTTAGAATATGATGTTGCCCTCTGGTGGCTACTTATTGCTACTGATAATAGTAATTGGTGACTTATTTCCTATCATGACTAGAGAAGAAATTTTGCACTGTGTATAATAATATTCAGAATGTATAAAGAACTCCTATGTATCAATAAAAATTGCAAGTAATCTTAAAGACTTGCAGAGTCACTTTGTTAAAGAGGCGCAATAGTATCAAGGTCAATTAAAATAAAACAATGATGGACCAGAATTGCATAAATTTAAAAAATAACTGTCAGGCTTATAGAGCAACAGGAATTCTTATAATGATGCTTTATAAAAGCTATTTTTTAAAGATTTATTTATTTATGCAAATAAGAACTGGCTACAAGCCAGAGGTACAGAGGGTAAGAGGATTCACAAGAGACAGAGTGGGGAACAGAACAGGCAGAGGTACTGAAATATACTGCTGAAGCAGGAGAGGTCTGTGCCGTGTGGGTCACCTCCGTGGCCAGGGATCAAACTCATGCTGCAGTGGCTGCGGAGAGCTTCATAGAGCTGCATTTTAACCTCTTGCACTACCAGGGAAACCCAAAAGCTATTTGTATGATTGTATGTTTTAGCAGTTACAGTCCATCTCAGCATAAAGGGATTGTAGGCCATTGGACTATCACATAGAAGAGCCTTGGCATCATCTTGTGTAGCCATGCCGCTCAGCAAGTAAAGAAACAAAGTCATGCTAGGTCTGTCCTGGGAATAGTTGGAAATACATGGAAATTGGATCAGATATATTGAAAACAAGTATTGTCAAATTGAACATGGACTTTGTCAAGCTAAAACTGGAATTAACAAGCATATGTTTTAAAACATGAAGGTGAGATGAGGGAGGCTTCTGGGCAGAGTGCACCTTGGCACTGTCCTGTTACAGGACACTTGGCACTGTCCTGTTCTCAGTACTCTCACCACTGGCCTCAGCAGCAGCTTTTCCATAGCCTCATGACAGTACACGAAGGGACTCTGATGAAATAAACTGTGTTTCTTCTGAGAAACTTGAATCAGCTCATAACTCCTTTGTGCTTCCCTTTTTCCAGGACCTCATAGTTGACCAGACAATAGAAAAAGTTTCTTTCTGTGCCCCGGACAGGAACTTTGATAGAGCCTTCTCTTACATATGCCGTGATGGCACCACTCGGCGCTGGATCTGTCACTGCTTCATGGCTGTTAAGGACACGGTGAGTCCAAAGTAGGGATCGCATCATCATTAGCCTCTTTCCTGGTTGACTCAACCAAGCGCTTGCTACTGCATTTGTAACACCAGTAAGTTGTTAAAGCATTTGGAAGTGCCCAAACTAACCTGCCTTCATTCCTTTAATTCAAGTAGTTTGCGCTTCTGGTATGACAGTGCGAGATGATTGGCTAAGAGCCAAGGTCATTAAAGGAAAGTAAAAGTGCTCCTGTGATGGTAACTGCTCTTTGAAACTTCACTGTAAGGGCTGTTTTCAGGATTCTTAAATGTATCTGTTTGCTGATATGTCTGGGTAGAAGATCTGTCACAGAAAGTGCTTATTAAATTTATTTGCAAAGGATACTGAAAGAACTGAGTTAGAATATATTTTATTTTCAATTAAAAAATAAAAATGTTAAATTGTGGTACAAAATGCTATGTTAGAAATTAGTGGAAGTTTTTGTTTAAAAATAAAAAGTAACTTGTCATCCTTCACGTAAATGACCCAAAATTGTTAAGAAAGGTAAGTCCTTTGATGATGATGATCTAAACTTTAACCTAGCATTGAGTGTAGACAATCTCTTAGTTTTTAAAAATTCAAACAGAATAAGATAGTATAGTTAGTTATAACACAGTAAATTCTTGCAAGGTTAAACCTGAAAGGGAAATGGTGGCCATGCTCTAAAACTGACTGAAAGGTTTTTTTTGTTTTTTAAGCTCTTTGAGACAGTGGTATTAAGAGCTTAGGCTCTGTGTTAGATCTGGTCTTAGTTATTTGGGGCAAGGGGCAAATTATTTAGCAATCTCACTCTTAATATCCATTTCTATACGATGGAGTTAATAGCTATTACTAGTTAATACTTAGATAATAAATAATGCACTCAACACATAGGTTCTGGCCCATGTTAGCTGCGCCCAAAATGATAGCTAATATTTTTCAAGCTCTGCCTCCTTGGCATGATATCAGTGCTTTGCGAATGAGCTGTAGTAACTATACTTTTCTTCCTCAGCCTCTCAGATCCTAGGTAAGCTGCAAAGTGGTATATTTTTCTATTACTGTACACATAAAATATAGAGTTAGGTTCCCCTTTATTAATTTAAAAAACCCTTTTATTGTCAAATTATAACCTTTAGGCCGTTCTGAGTTACTAGGCCAGTGGTTTGCCTATATCTAAATCACCAAGAGAACTTGTTACAACAGATTGGTGGACTCCACCCCCAGAGGCTTTCATGCAGTGGGTTTGAGGTAGACTTGAGACTTTTTCTTCAAGAACTTCTGTCCTAGACCTAAGAAAATGTTTTTGTTTTTTTTTTAAGATTTATTCATATATGGCCCTCCCTGGTGGTGCAGCGGGTTAAAGCACTGCACTAAGAAGCTTAAGCCACTTCCCATGAGTTCAATCCCCGCCTGCCCCGGAGGAGACCACATGGTGTGGCAGACCTCTCCTGACCCGCCCGCTGCTCCCCTCAGCAGTGTACTTCGTTGATCTGCCTGTTCTGCTCCCCACTCTGTCTCTGGTGAATCCCCTCACCCTCCGTATCTCTGGCCTGTACCCCAGTTCTGTATGAATAAATAAATAAATCTTAAAAAAAAGATTTATTCATATATGCATGCAGAACTGGGGTGCAGGAATGGTAAGAGGATTCACCAGACAGAGTAGAGAGCAGAACAGGCAAACTGACAAAGTACACTGCTGAGGGGAGCAGCTGGCGTGCCAGGGGAGGTCTGCTGCACCATATGGGTCACCTCTCTGGCGGGGGATTGAACCTGCGCTGAAGTGGCTTTGGCCTGTCTTGTAATGCTGTGCTTTAATCCACTGCGCCACCAGAGAGGGCCCAGAAAAATAAGTTTTCTTACAGTTCTGTTCTTACAATAGAGCTGTATTCACAGACAAAAAGGTACTAAGATTCTTTTGTACACATCCTCCAATTTCATACTCAGTGTCTAACCTCATGGCATCCACTAAGGAGGTAGTGGAGACTCATGTGGATTCATAAAGAATATTTCTCACTTTAAAATAAGCAGTCATGAGAAATCTTGGAGACAAAAAGCATTTTAAACATTACCTCTCCTTATGATATCTGATACTAGCAAGTAAAGTCTAGTAAAACTATTGCGCGCCATCTGTAGGAGCAGCTGCCTACCTGCTGTGATTTTGAAGAAGCCACAGAGGACTCCCAGTTTTCAAATATCTCACTATAAATGATGCCAACAGTTACTTTATCATCTCTGACTTTTTCACAACTAGGAATATGGTTTAAAATACAGCTATGTCTGGTTTTTAAAAAAAAATCCATTGACTTTATTTTTTTAAAGATTGATTTATTTATGCATCAGAACTGGGGGACAGGCCAGAGGTACAGAGGCGGTGAGAGGCTTCACCAGAGACAGAGTGGTGAGCAGAACAGGCAGACTGACGAAGTGCACTGAGAGGGAGAAGGAGAGGTCTGCTGCGCCATGTGGGGGGCAGCTCAGGGCCTGGGATCGGATTCACACTGAAGCGGCTGCAGCCGGCTGGCAGTGCTGCGCTTTAACCCACTGCACTGCCAGGGAGGGCCCAGACCCTTGACTTTATTAGGTTAACTAGGTAATCCTGTGTATCTTTAAAACCATTATCTATGTAATCTTTCCACTCCCCCCCAAAAATCCACTTTTTTCTGTTTAAGTCCTTTTATAAGTAGAGCACATGGATGAAATCTCTTTTAACTTTTGCCTGTACATGGTTAGGAGGTTGAAGTAGAGGTTAGAGAGAGTTTAGAGAAGGGAAGATAAGAGAAAAATCAAAGCTGATTAAGGTCTGGAGTAGGGCAGATTGGTTGGGTCTACGGAGACAGTCAGAAAAGGGAGGCTAAGGAAGCAGGTATCTGTTGACTCGTTCCTTTCTCATTGCTGAAGTTGCTTTTATTTACCTTAAGTTATACATTTGCACTTTTTATTTCTAGACATGACAACATATTTCAGCTACTGAAATGTGCCTCCCCTCTCCAATGGGTCCTTAGAAGTTCTTGGGAAATATTTCCACTACTCCCCTAAACAGCATACAGAGGTTTGTGTGTCAGGGCTTAGAACCTTGGGCAGTGCCTGCTACTCTGGTGGCCAGAGCTAATGTGACAGGAGCCCAGTGGATCTGGAGGTCTCAGTAGCTGCTGTAAAGCACAGGGTGCTGATGGTTGCATTCCCCGTTCCTACACAGGGAAGCATAAGCATTACCTAAGGTAACTTACTCATTTAAATTGATTTCGCACATTAATATATTAAAGTCTAATTTTAAGCTCAAATTCCCAATGTTTTGCTTTGTGTAAAAGCAGACTTATTTGTAGTTTAGGCTAATTTGTAATTGTTGGTACCGTAGCCCTAAAAAAGTGTTTGAAACCTCTGTAACATACAGGGAGAAAGACTGAGCCATGCAGTGGGCTGTGCTTTTGCAGCCTGTTTAGAGCGTAAACAGAAGCGGGAGAAGGAATGTGGAGTGACTGCTACTTTTGATGCTAGTCGGACCACTTTTACAAGAGAAGGATCGTTTCGTGTCACAACAGCCACGGAGCAAGCAGAAAGAGAGGAGATTATGAAACAAATCCAAGATGCCAAGAAAGGTACAATCCTGTTCTACCACAATGTGTGTTTATTCAACTTGTTTTTCTGCAGCTAGAAGAACAAAGCTGGAAGTCTAAACAAAGTCCCTTCCTATAGAGTAGCCAGTTTAGTGTTTTCAAACGTGTTTACATTCTCCAGTACATTAAGCCATCTGGGAAGCAAAGAGTGAAGATGAAAAAACTGCAGACATTCACCCCACACACACACATACACACACAAATCCTTTTGCTTAAAAACAAAATTAAGAAGGCCTGTCTCCTAGAACCAATTTTTAATTCTGATGTATCTGATTTTTGAGTGAAGCAAGTGCCATCAAGGGCCTACATCCTAAAGGAAGAAATAAAGTCCTAGGTGTAGCTCAGAAGATCTACCCATTTTGACTATGGTGCTGGCACACGGGTGATTTGGTGGTGGGAAGCCCACAGGGATTACAACTGAGATGGAAAAAAACCACAAAATGATGTAAAAATAAAATATTATTAACAAAAAAAATCTACCTATTTTGATGTTGGTTGCAAATATACACAGAGGTTTCAGTTACTTTTAGTAGATTATTGCTGTTTCCAGAGCTTTGGTGGAAAAGTGCCACAGATTTTGAAAAGCTAGCCCTTAACTTTTTTTACTGTAGCCCTCTAGATTTTGGTGTAATCTTGCAGAATAAGAGTTTTTTCAAGTCTACACAGCAGCACATAGCAGAAATGCCTGTGCAAGCATTGCGTTTGCTCAGGAGCCTGTTGTCTGAGGTTGAGTGAGGGTTGTTCTAGAACTGCCAGGACCTGGGGAAAATGCTTTGCATTCTTGCATATCCTAGGGTTGAAACCAACAAAGAGTACTAGAATAAAACTGTTCAATTTAAGTGTACATTAATAGGACACTACTAATTTTTTACTGTGTTCTTTTAGATAGCATCCTTAATGTGGATTCAAATAGCCCTAGTTCTTAAGTTAAAAAAATGTATATTTTATTTGAAATTAAATTATTGGTGATAATTTTTTTCATCTTATAAACATTTATGCCAACGAATAAAAAAAGTTTAATAGAAAATTTAATATGTATGCTACTAGTGTGATTGCTAGAAACATTTCTCAGTATCACAAAATAATACACATTGCTACAAACAGCAACTAGGAGAGAGGTTAAAACCCCAACATCTACAGAATGGCAAGGGGAGGGAGGTAGAGCTTCACCGCAGTCAAAATGAGACTCAACTGTTGCTCACATGTATTTGTATTTAGGCTTAATTCAGCTTGAAATTTTACTTCTGTTTGCTTATATGAGCCACAAATGCATACTGCTCATGATTTAAAAGCTGACCTTCTTTGACATATAATCAAATATATTTGTGTAAACCTTTCTGATCTTGCCACTCTCAGAGTTCTCTCCCCCAAACAAATAAGCAGAAAACTTTGAAAACCACAAATCATTCTTTAAATGGCCTTACATTAGGAATTCATTGTTTTTTAAAAATACTGTTTGGAGTCCTCAATCACTACATGAGAATCAAATATCTAAAGTTGTGTCTTAGATGTTCTGTGTGACATGTCAGAGATTATTGAACCTTTTATTTATGTGAAAAATAAGAAATCAAAGATTTGCTTCCAGCTTGCCTTTTAAGAGCCATGGGGAAAGAAATGGGTCGAAAGACTTAGATGGGGATTTGAGTTCCTCGGCTTGGTAAACTCAAATTATTTGAAAACATTACTAAGGTCCTCTTTCTCTTGACTTTCTTGAGCTGAAACAGATAAGACAGTTGGTTCATCAGTGATCCCTGGCAACACTGTCCCATCCCCATCCTCTCCCACCTCTCCCACTTCGGATGCCACTGCCTCTCTGGAGATGAACAACCCTCATGCCATCCCGCGCAGGCACGCGCCGATTGAACAGCTTGCTCGCCAGGGCTCTTTCCGAGGATTTCCTGCTCTCAGCCAGAAGATGTCACCCTTTAAACGCCAGCTCTCCCTGCGCATCAACGAGTTGCCTTCCACTATGCAGAGGAAGACTGATTTTCCCATAAAAAATGCAGGTAATGCAGTGTCTGTCTGACTTGCTGATGTACTGGCATTGAAGCATTATCATCGCTTCTGGTGGAAATAATACCATCAAGCTATCTGCCATGCTCTCTGAGGCTGGTTGATGCTGGTATCTTCTGTTTTTTCCCACTGGGAGAAAACTAAGGTCCAGGAAAGGGGAACATGAATCCATCATTTCTTTGCAATAAATAGGTAACAGAACCATGATGGGAATTCCTAGCCTGAACTGGAAGATGTATGGTTTGTTCTGATGGAAGTATACTTCCCTCCTTCTAACTAACCTGCTTCCAGATATCAAGGGTCTCAGGTTGCCATTCTTATTCTGTCATTGGGGACCCAACAGGGAATTAATTAAAGAAGGCTTTGGAAACATATCCAGTTAAACAGCATCACTGTCAGATGTACCAGAAGAAATAGGTAAGTGCTACTTGTACTGTGAATGACTCCGCAGGGAGGAAGCTCTAAACGGGTCTCCTGTATAAATCTAAGAGCTGTTGTGCATGAGATGGTAGATTTCCTCACGCATATTCATTACCTTTCAGAACTGCCACACTAGCCTTTGTGTGGCCTGTGTACAATTGAGCCAGCCCCGGTAGCTCTAGCCTCGTCATAAGATCCGGAGCTAAAGTGTCAACTCTGGTTAGTGCTTTTAGTAGACACTGCTTTACTTCATTCTGAGACATCCCTTGCTGTCAGGCTGATGCTATACAAAATATGAGGAAGCTCTTTCTCATTAGGGCACTCCCACTGATGATGGCGAAGAGCACAGTATTGTCTGTTGATGGATGAAACGAGGAACCTATGACTACAGAACAATTGGATTAGATGATTACTGAGGATCTTTTCAGCTCTCAAGGCCTATAAAAACTGAAAATCCAGATGCTTCAAGTATCTTGTTTTTAGTCTCCTTCTAGGGCAGATGAGGAACAACTTGACAGTTGCACAAAGTTATTGCAGCCATAACAGGCTTCTTCAGTAACATTGAAGTATTGCAGAGTTGGTATCAAGTACAAAGGCTCAAGAGTCCTGGATCTCAGCTCACATTTTCCTGTTATCACAGTTCATACACTTGTACATGGGAGAAAAATAAGTGTGATGATATTGGCATAGCTTACTACTGAGAAAAAAAAAACTAGGTATCCACTGGTTGACCAATTTTCTGAGAGGGTTACTATCTGGTGCAGAACTTAATCAGACCACAGCCTTGGGAGCTGGTTGGAAACAAACATGTTGCAGATGTCTTCCAGAAAGATATGACTAGCCAAACATCTTGGCACAAAAAGAGAACACCAAGTTTTCACGAATGTCATAGGGGAGAAAGTACAGAAGTTTGGAGACATGCAAGAAAGGCATGTAGCCCCTAGTACATGAATTATTGACATTTTATACCTTCCCATCAGAGAAGTCAGTGGAATAATAGAAATTTTTTTAAGCTGCCTTTTAGCTCCATCTGATAATTAAGCTGTTTCCTCCCACAATAAAGAATGCAGTATAAAATGTTATTTTATGACATACTGCTGTTATATTTCAGGATTACTCTGTTTGTCTGTCTGAAGTCACTTTCTGCTGTCTTGCAGTCCCAGAAGTAGACGGGGAAGCAGAGAGTATCAGTTCCCTGTGCTCACAGATCACCAACGCCTTCAGCACACCCTCCGAGGATCCCTTCTCATCAGCCCCAATGACCAAACCAGTGACAGCAGTGGCACCACAGTCTCCTGCCTTTCAAGGTGGGTGCCCTCCCAGCCTGTTCATTGTTCTCTTTGAAACTATTGCTTGTCTGATGCTGGCATCCTGAGCTTCCTAAGAGCAGGTCAGATCCATAAATTTCTGTTGATAATGTCAGGTTTGTTTCCTCTTGGACAGTGTGTGTATTTTGTTCTGCCTCCTGTTTCCTGAGAGTTTGCATTTGTCATTTTGCATGTACTTACCCACCTTCCATTCCATTCTAATAGGAGCTTGTATAGCCCCAACTCACTGCATTATTAACTGCTGTTAATGGTCAGAGTACCCAGCCAACTCATAAAAACAAGTCATCAGAGTTGGTTCTAGCATTATGCTTGCCTGGGTTCTCAACCCAGGGTGATTTTGCTCCCTCAGGGAAAAATAGGCATCTGTTATCTGGAGAAATTTCTGAGTTTTATAATTTGGGGTGGAGAGGGTTTTCTACTGGCATCTGGGCAGTGTTCAGAGATGCTACTAAATATTCCTATGCACAGGACAGCTGCCCTCACACAAAGAATTATCCAGCCGCCACACCAATTGTGCCATGTATCTCTGAGCTAACTGTTGATATTGACTCAGAGATCAGCAAATAGCTTGTATAACTTAAGTTACAGGCTTTTAGAATTTGAGCTATAATTGGTGTTTCTTCGTTTCTTTGAGAGAGCTCAGGCAAGACAGTAGCCTTCTCTCATTGGAGGGGGCTACTACATGCTTTCCCTCTAGAAAGTTTCTCTCTTTTTTTCCAAGACATTTATTTCTGCATACAGAACTGGGGTACCAGCTAGAGGTGCAGAGGCAGTGAGAGGCTTCACCAGAGACAGAGTGGGGAGCAGAACAGGCAGACTGATGAAGTACACTGCAGAGAGGAGCAGCGAGTGAGACGAGAGATCTGCTGCACCATGTGGTCACCTCTGGGGCTAGGGATTGAACTCACGCTGAAGTGGCTGCAGCTAGCTTCATAATGCTGTGCTTTATCCCACTGGGCCACCAGGGAGGGCCCAGAAAATTTCTTTTTTAACAAACAGTAATCTTTGGGGCCCTTCCTGGTGGTTCAACAGGTTAAAGCACAATGTTGAGAAGTTGCCTGGAGCCACTTCAGTGTGGCCAGGGTGGGTGACTCACATATGGCGTGGCAGACCTCTCCTGACCCGCCCGCTGCTCCCCTCAGCAGTGTACTTCATCGCTTGGCCTGTTCTGCTCCCCACTTTGTCTCTGGTGAATCCTCTCACAACCTGCACCTCAGCCTACACCCCAGTTCTATGTGCATAGTCTTTTTTTTAAATATAATAAACTTTCATAGTCATGAGCACCAAATGACTTTAAATCTCATATAACAAGTATTTGCAATACTAATAGGCACAATTTATCAAGTACTTAGCAGACTACCTACCACATCATGGCAAGGACTCCCATTTTTCTCATCTCATTTAATCTCCATTAAAACCCTTTGAGATAGACTTTACAGATAAGAAAGGTGAGAACCAGAGAGGTTAAGTAAATGGCCTGAATTGCACAGTCAGGTCTTCCTGAATATATCATCTGTTAACATTCTTTTGCCTTCATGACTGTATATAAGGCAGTGGGTTTACAAAACTGATAGTACAAAGTCCTTTCTCTGCCTTGTAAGGGCCTCCCAGTCTGTGTGTGAGCTAATTTTTAGACAAGACCTGGGTAAATAGTACCAAAACCATGACTGCCCTGCCCCAAGAGGGAATGACTGTGTCTGGGGAAGGGGAAGGGCCTGCTCCACTGCTCTCTGCTAAATACAATGAAGAGCTGGACTGAAAAGATAAGCGCAGCTCATGGATAGAGCGGAAGGGATAATGCTAGGTGAAGTAAGGAGAAAGACTGTACCGGATGGTGTTACTAAGATGTAGAGTATAAAGTAACTATAAACTAAGAGTCAGATAAAGACAGGCTTAAAAACTAACCCTTGATAGCTGGCTATGGAACTGAAGCGTCAAAGTGGGGAGTTGTAGGGGCGGGCTAAGAACAAGGCTTTACCAGCCTTGAGGGGGTTTGAAAGGGTTAAATGAGATGAAGCATATGGTACTAGTAACATAGTGCCTAACACATGATGAAGGAATCACTATATTAACTCATTATTGAGTTGGCATAAGATGATCTTCTGGGAAAATGGTAGAAGAACAAAAGGTGTTACCTATCATCATTATGCCAAGGCTAACCTGTATCTGTTTGTAAGACAGAGCAGCTCTGTTCAGCTTAATTTGACATTATTTTCCAGGTTTCTTTTCCTCTCTTCCCAGTATGCATATTTTCCTAGTATAGTCATCTGACCTCATCAGTCCAGCCATTTAATTACTACTTCTGATTCCCTCTGCCAAAGGCTTGTGTATCCATGGCAAGATGGCATGCTTATCCCAACACGAACTTTCTGTCTTATCTGTTCCACTGGTATTGCACATTGGCCTGACTGCCCAGCTCCAAGGTTCACCTGTACTCCCCGCATGAATTAACTCCGTTGATGTTGTCTGCTCCCATTGTAGCTAATGGCACTGACTCAGCCTTCCATGTGCTTGCTGCTAAGCCAGCCCATACTGCTCTAGCACCCGTAGCAATGCCTGTGCGTGAAACCAACCCTTGGGCCCAGGCCCCTGATGCTGCTAACCAGGGAATTGCAGCCACACATACGGGTAAGGTGGCCACAGATGGCGGTGAGGATTCTGGGATCAGATAAGTGACTCTGGTTCAAAAATCAGCCATTTACCAGAGTGGGAACTAGGGAGGAATCCTGTTAAGTATATTCCATCCTGGAACTAAATCTCATCTACCAAATATTACGGACACATGATAAAGGAGAAAAACCAAAGAGGTTCAACTGCTAGTTCTTAGGACTATAGAGCAGAACTACCCATGAGCTGGGCCTCACCTGGAGAGTCTGACAATGGACTTAGAGATGGGCACACCCTTAGGAAGAGGGGACCTTGCCTCCTGCAATGAATGGCAGGCCTATTTATTTTTACATCATTTTGTACATTTTTTTTTTCCATCTCAATTGTAATCCCCGCGGGTTTCCCATCACCAAATCACCCATGTGCCATCACCATAATCCCGTGTATTTCTGTCCCCTCCCACCCATTTTTGATCCCATTCCCCACTCCACCCCCACAAAATGTCTCTGGTATATGGTTGCTCATTATTTTTGTTATTTTCTCGGGCAGGCCTATTTTTAAAAAGCACTTTAGTGTGTTTTTCAGTACTTGTTTTCTTTTTTAAGATTCATTTATGCATACAGAAATGGGTACAGCCAGAAGTGCAGGGGTGTTGAGAGGATTCACCAGAGACAGAGCAGGAGTAGAACAGGCCAGCTGATAAAGTACACTGCTGAGGGGAGCAGTGGGGAGACAGGAGAGGTCTGCCGCACCATGTGGGTCAGCTCCCTGGCTAGGATTGGACTCGTGCTGAAGCGGCTGTGGCTAGCTTCGTAGTGCTGCACTTTAACCCATTGCACCACTAGGGAGGCCCTCTGTACTTGTTTCCTGTAAGAAATGTCTGTTAGCTAGAAAAACAAAAATTGTTTAAATAGTCAAGACAAGTCCTGCCAGGAAGACAAAAGGTGCGTGGAAGCCAGGGAGGGGCCACAGGGGCAGCACCAAGTTGCCCGTTATTGTGTTTTTTCCTGCGCTGTTAGGTGATTACGCTGGGCCCTTTAGAGCATGAGCAGACTGGGTTCTGTTCTGCAAGTGAGCCACAGCAACAGAACAGGACTCTGACACCAGCCACAGCCCTGGGCCGAGCAGTTGGGCCAGCTAGACCAGGGCTCTAGGACGGCTGAGACCACAGCGTGGTCTCACGGGTTCTTTTTTATCTGACCACGAAACTTCCCTCGCTGCAATAAAAGACACTTTCACCCATCAAAAGCACAGAATGTCCCCACTAGGGGGACTTGTTCCACACGTTAGGATCATTCAAATAACCAGGGTACCAGAATGAAGTCCAGGGTACCAGAATGAAGTCCTTAATGACTCTCTATCTCTCTCCATCTTTTTGATTCCAGGGACCGAATGGGGTCAATCTTCTGGTGCTGCCTCGTCAGGTCTCTTCCAGGCGGGCCACAGGCGCACGCCCTCTGAGGCCGACCGCTGGTTAGAAGAGGTGTCCAAGAGCGTGCGGGCTCAGCAGCCCCCAGCCGCGGCTGCCCCTCTGCAGCCAGTGCTCCAGCCTCCGCCACCCACTGCCATCGCCCAGCCAGCTCCGCCTTTCCAGGGGAACGCATTCCTCACCGCTCAGCCCGTGCCAGTGGGTGTGGTCCCACCCTTGCAGCCAGCCTTTATCCCTGCCCCGTCCTATCCTGTGGCCAACGGGATGCCCTATCCCGCCCCTAATGTGCCTGTGGTGGGCATCACTCCCTCCCAGATGGTCGCCAACGTGTTTGGCACTGCAGGCCACCCTCAGGCTGCCCACCCCCACCCGTCTCCCAGCCTGATCAAGCAGCAGACATTCCCCCAGTACGACACAAGCAGTGCTACTGCCAGTCCCTTCTTTAAGCCTCCTGCTCAGCACCTCAACGGTTCTGCAGCTTTCAATGGTGTAGAAGATAGCAGGCTGGCCTCGGGAGACAAGCACACGGAGGTTCCTGCAGGTACCTGCCCCGTGGATCCTTTTGAAGCCCAGTGGGCTGCATTAGAAAGCAAGTCCAAGCAGCGCACTACCCCCTCCCCCACCAACCCTTTCTCCAGTGACCTCCAGAAGACATTTGAAATTGAACTTTAAGCGGTTCCTACGGCTTATGTATTTTGACCATACGTAGGCAAGGATGGGGGTGGGGGTCCAAGGAGCAAAGGGGACTTTGTGTTTCTGATCAGTATGCTTTTTACTAATCCCAAAGGTCCAAAGGGCATATCCAGGCACAGAGTACAGTGAGGGAGATTTGGAAAATAAACCAGTGAAAACCATTCCTAGAGGAGTTATCTTACAGTCAGGCTAAAGAAGTCAAGGCATTGTGACCCTCCTCCCCTCCTCCTCAGCCCCTTACAAGTCTCTGGCAACAGAGAGGCAGATGTATCTCAACAGGAACCTTTATTCAAAGCACATTTACTGGAACATAGAGCAGAACGGGAAGCAAAATAATCTCCCTTGTCTTTCAGGCCAGAAACCTGCCTCCCCTTGGAGGACATCAATACCGAGGTGACCTGTGCTTAGGCAGGAAGAGAGGCAGGCTGGCTGCCAGGAGTCCCCAGCAGCAGCTGCCCAGCACAGCTCTATTTTAGGGGTAAATTTGAGCTTCCATTTTGAATAACAGAATAAATATTATAAATATATATAAAAAGCCAAAATTTTATTTTTATGCATTTAGAATATTTTAAATAGTTCTCAATATTAAAAAGTTGTATGAGTTGTAAGTAATCTTGCCAAAGGTAAAAGGGTTAGGTGTAAGAAATTGTACATAAGATTGATTTATCATTGATGCCTGCTGCAGGAAGAGGGCAGGGTAGGTGTTGCGGACAGGACCCCTGGCTTATCTGTGCTGTCCCCTGTAAGTAGCGCGTCGCAACACAGTCACGCTTCGACCAGTACAGCCGCTGAGAGTAGTTTATATAAAGACAGCAAAAGAGCAGTATTGTCCTGGTTTTAAACCAATGATGAAATTCTAATATTTTAGTGGAATCAAGCTCAATATGCTCTATAGAGACTATGTATGTATTTCCTTTCATGTATTGCTACATTTTCCTTACGTTAATCCTTTAACACTAAGGTGACAATGACATAATCATAGACGGGAACGCAGGTTGCTGTGTGGGTCTTGTTGTGTCACTGGTCCCCACGGTTGGGTGGGGACAGAAAGCGGGTCTCCTAGCCGTGTGCCGTGTCCGCGCTCCCTGTGTGCAGAGCGCCCGTTGCTGTCGGCGGCCGCTTGACCTCTGGTAACGACGTGAGATCCCAGCTCATTTTTACTTTTGAACGTTGGCCTTACAATCAAATGTAAGTTATATATATTTGTACTGATGAGAATTTATAATCTGCTTTAACAAAAATAAATGTTCATGGTAGAAGCCTTTGCCCATGAAGGACTGCGCTGTTCCCCTTTTCTTTAGAAGCAAGTGGAAGTTCTAGTTCTTGGGGGTTTGGTTCAATATTTTGATGCTACTGATCTCCAGTTCTTTTATCAGGACCAGTATCTTCTTAAAAGTAGTATTTTGTTTATACTTTTAGGCTTTGGTTGATCCTGAGTCCACCTCTCACATTAGACTCTGGCTACTCAAAGTACTGTCTGGAACAGCAGCCTGGACTTGGCCAGAATTGGTAGGAGATGCCAAAGCTGGGCCCCACCCCAGGCCGATCAGTCAGAATCTGCACTTGAGCAAGATGCTTGTGCTGAGAAGCCTGGACTGAAGCACTGACTGGACCCATATTAGAATCACCTGGAGAGCTTTTAAAAATCATCACTCCTGGCCCGCCCTTGAGGGCAAGAAAATCAAAATCCTCGGGGAGATTTCTATTTAAAAAGTCCCCAGCATGGCACAGAATTGAGAACCCTTTGTAGAGTGACTGCCACCTCTAACCTCAGGTCACTAGTGAACTAGTGACTAGTTCTAAGAAGAGTTAGTGAACCTCAAACTTCTGAGGTGAGCTGCCATTGGCCAAATACTGAGCTAATTTAAAAGTATTACTTTCTAATTACCTTTTAACTTTTTAGTGCAAAACTCATCCTACTAAATGAAAGGGGATATCCCTTGATATTCTTTTAGTGAAAAGAAAAGTACTCATTGGTGAGAAGCCGACCACGCATCCTCACTCGCCCATGGTGCAGTCGGTCTCTCTCCCAGCCAGTGTCGGTAATGTCCCTTTCAGAGCGTTAGTCCCCATAATGCCTGTCTTCCCTGTGCCAGGGATAGCCACCTTTGTTACTAGGCCCTGTCAGTCCCCTGGAGGCTGCATAAAAGTTGAAATAGAAAGGCACACGAAGCTGGTGAAACTGCAGTTAACCACAGTGCCCTCCTCCGCGCCTGCACCCCCGTCCGACTGGTGCTGTATTTAATGGTAGTCTGATTTTATCTGGCAACAAACATTTGCTTCACAGATTCCTACTTGAGGAGGAGAGGCCCACCCCTAGCCACTGTGCAGAGCAGGCCCATCAGCTTGATCCACCGCGAGGACCCTGCGGCCAGGCCGTGTGAGTCAGCCTCAGGAGAAGGGCGCCCGGCGTCCCGCGAGAGTTAAGGAGCTTTTCCGGTTCTGTGCTCAGACAACGATGCAGCTGCTGCTCTTTCACCCCAGCCCCCACCAAGTCTTGTCTTCCACTCCACTGCATGCGTTCACAAACACGCTGTCCCCGGCCGTGAGCACAGGTGGGGAATGGGTGCTGCACTGCTAGAAGGGTGAGAGACACACCAGAGCAAGGGGCCCTAGTTTGATCCCAGATGACAAGATCAAGTCCTAGCAAAGAATATATGTCCCTGACACAGCAGATGTGCCTGTTCCCTGGGTGAGAGAGGTATGAACTTTGAACCCACTGCCTCCCCACCCTTAAGCTTGCTTTCAAACAGTGAACCCATCTTATGTAATAAGATCTGTAGAGGGACTTTGTAAAGATTGTCCTTATCCAATCAGATTTCTCCTGACAACTCGACAGCCCCTGTGGCACTGACTCAGGAATAGGGAAGGGGCAGGTACTGGTTCTGCGGAGGTCAGACCCTCGGGAAACGGGGACAGTTGAAAGAGCCAGAGTCTCCAGAAGGTAACTGCCTTCGTCAGTCAGAAAAGGGAGATGAAGCACCCTGCGCTGTGGGAGCTGAGGCCAGCTTTCACCCCTGCTGCCAGATGGGCTGGGCGGGAGGCTGGACGCGGGAACAGCTGGCGCAGCAGAAGCTGGAGTAGTACTCATTGCCGCAGAGGCCGGCCTGCAGGACCAAATCACAGTTGGCCAGCTCAGGCTGGTCAGTGCACTCCCTGCGGGGGTCCCTGGGCTGCGTGGCCAGTGCTGCAGAACAAAAGGAGAGAGAGAGTGGTCAGGCAGCCTTGTGCATGCTGAGAATCCTCACCTGCCACTTCTCCTTAAGAGGCAAGCAGCTATTCTGTAACCTGGTGACACCTGCATGTGCAGCCCACGGGGTGAGGTGACACTTTCTCTCTTCATTGCCCCCACCTCACCCCCCTTTAGCACACAGTGGGCCTTCCGTTCTTCCTGGGTGCAGATCCCAAGTACTGGGAGGTAAATACTGTCCTTGCTCTTAAGACCCAAAAGGCTGAGCGACAGGTGCCTGGTCCTTGGCTTGGGCAAAGGAAGGTCAGCGCCTGCCTCACCCGCTGGTTTCCTCCTCCTCAGTTCCCCACCCTTGCACTCGCCCCAGAGAAAGCGAATGACACTCAACAAGGCGAGAATGAAGTGTGCCGAGAACCGAGACTCCTACGGCCCCAAGCCTCCACTGCTGGCTTCCCCAGGAGCTTGGGCAGCCGCCAGCTCACTGGCCGAGCGCCCCTACTGCTTCACGCTAGGCGTGGCCTTATCTGGGTGACTGCCGTCTGGACGGGGTTCCAACGAGAGCTTGGAGTAGGCAGTACCCCCTTCACCCTGGGGCCCCGGCCGTGCCCGCGTTTTGGCATGGTGCTGGGCGCCTTCTCACCTGGCCTGGTCATCTTCACCTCTGTGCTGCGGCTGACGGCCTGGCTCCCGCGGTAGGCGCTGCACGTGTAGGAGCCCTCGTCCCTGGCCCGCAGGTTGTGGATCAGCAGCGTGCCATCCGGGGACTGGTGAACGCGGCGGCCGTCGGCCTGGACCGGCAGCCCGTTCCTGGAGGGGAGAGATGCGGCTGCCCACCCAGGACTGGAGCCAGGGCGGAGGTCGCAGACCGTTCCAGAGCCAACAGCTAGCTCCCTCTGGGCAAACAGATGACTCACCTCAGAGAAGACACGGGACAGGGTAACAAAAAAGAACATAAAGCACCTCAAAGGAGGAGCTCATACTGATCGGAGTTTAAATGTACCTCTTGCCCACAGAGGAACCCCACTCCTGCCTTTTACTGGATGCAGGACAGGCACTCCCTGCCTGCAGGGCACTGGGTGCAGGAGACAGGAAGGTCATGGCCAGAGCAAGGCAATGGGGTGGGGATACTGAGGGTCTGTATGGCCCTAATCTGGAGTTTGAACTGGACTCTTGAGGATGAGCAGGGGAGGGGGCCGCCAAGTGAGGCTAACGCGACATTTGCAGAGAAAGTATAGCTGCCCAAGGTGCTGGGAGAAAAGCCTGAAAGCAGAGACCAGGTAAGTGGCTGCTGCGCACGGGCAGTCAGGGATGACGGAGCTTCTCGCTCGGGTTACCAAGTGCTAGCGGTGCCCTCCCATGTGGGCAGGCCCAGCCAGGGAGGACGGCCTGTGGTGAGGTTTCCACCCACCCCCACTGTGCACTTCTGGCGCCCCATGGACACCGGCTGGTATCAGAGCTAAGCCTGGGTGACCCCAGAAACTGCACGTCTACAAGGCTGCCAGGTGAAGTTAGGCAAGTGACCTGAGCACCAGCAGCCAGAGAAGCAAAAAGACCACTACGCAGCCATTTGTGGAGGCCAGGAAAAGGAGTGCTGCGGGAGGCGAGCTGGCAAGCAGAGGAACACTGCAGGTAGTGTGGGGATGGACATGTGTCCAGGGGGGTTGGCGGTCTCGGGAGGGCGGAGCCATCCCGTATGGACAGCTGTGCAATTGGGGCACTGCAGGGGAGCACAGCGTCAGAGGAGGGGATGTTTTAGAGGGAGCCCTGAGCATCTTGCGGACACCCGCCTCAGAGGCTTGACAAGGACACCCCTCTAGCCAGCCACCTGTCACCTCCTTTAGCGCCCCTTTGTGGGTCTCCCAGATGAGAGGCAGCCCCATCCCTTGCCTGGGAGTGTCTTAGGGGATCAGGTTACCTGAGGGGCCCCAGAGCCTAGTCCTGACACATGGTAGGGAGGAAGGGGGTAAAGAAAGGTTTGCTGAAGGAACAAGTAGAAGACCACTCAACCCAAGGGACAACTAGCAATGTCAGGAGTGCTAGTGACATCAGGTGAGTAGGCACAGGAAAGCCCCCAAGAACTGAAACTTACTGGGTCCAAAATGTCAATAATGCTGATGTTGCAAATCCCTGGTGTAACCCATCTGACAGAACAGGGTGCAGCAGCAGTGACAGAAACACCCCCAGAAAGGTGGGCCAACTCTGGACTGCACAACCCCGAAGGGAGGGCGTACAAGCCAGGGCCTCCAGGAAGAGCCTTACCTGGACCACCTGACGTTCACACTTTGTCCTGCCACCATGCACAGCAGCCTGGCCGTGTCGCCCTCTGGCACCGTCACGGTAGAGGGCAGCCCTGTGATTGTCAGCTCCCCTGCGGGCCCCAGGAGGAGGCGCTGTCAGCCACGGCGCCACTCCCGCCCCACCCTCAGAGGCTCTGCTCACCCTTCCATTCCAGCCTGCCCTCTTACCCAGAACTCTGAGCTGGACCCAACGCTGGTCTCTGTCGTGCCCGTTGAAAGCAACACAGGCGTAGAAGCCACTATCTTCAGCAGTCACCTGACTGACGACCAGGGAGCCATCGGGCTGCAGCTGGTGTCTGGGGACCAAGCAGAGTCTGTCGTCTCCCTCCCAAGGGGCCGCAGATGGTGCGGGAGTAGCAGCTGTTCACTGGGGTCTGGCCTGATGGCCATGCCCCTGGGGCCCCAGCTGCCGGCAGGCGCAGCCACTTGAAGAGGCCTGGCATTTAGGCCTGGCAATAAACACAAGCCTTTTCACATTTTCCGATGCCAAACTCTGGTTTGGGTTTCCAGTTGGTGCTGTTTTCGTCTGGGCTCTGCCACTTAGGAGCTGAGTCTTGTGGTGTATGTGAAAGGGGGAATAAAAGGTGGGAGCACACCCCACCCTCAGGCCCTATTTCCTCCCTGTGCTGGCTGGCCTGCCTGTCCACTGAGCACTCTGGAAGGCCCAGAGCCCCCCGCAACCTGCACGGGCAGGGACAGAACCAACCTGGGAGCAGAGAGCAACTGCCCGTCTCTCTGCCACTCGATAGTTGGGGGTGGGAAGCCCTCAGCCCGGCAGGGCAGCCGGACCCGCTGTCCTGGATGGGCGTCCACCACCCCAGGCTGGCTGTGGTCCAGATGCAGCCTGCAGAACCACAACCATGAGGAGAGTCTTGCCACAGCCTCCCCTCTCCCAGCCAGATTTAGCTTCCTAACGCCACCCTGTGCTTGTTAGGACACCGAGAACGGCCTGGGGAAAGTCAAAGCCAGCCCTGACCTCAGCTCCCTTCACCAACATCTCCAGCTGTCTCCGTCCTGGCACTAGGCCCAAGCCCCCCAGCCCCGCTGTTCCTCCTTCACTCCGTCCCAACCCGGAACCCTGGTGTCTCTCCCTGCTGTCGGAGCAGGAGTGAGCCAGTCTAGTCACCGACTGGGAGCCCGAGCACCCCTCTCCTCCACCCACGGAGACCACCCACCCGGTCCTCAATGGGGGAGGCCGAGGGCAGGATGGTGTTGGCACACTGTTACCTGGTCATGCGCCTTGGGTGCGGGGAGGTGTCCCCTGCTAGGCCCGAGTACTGAGCGCCGTGGCCCTGGGCGGGGTCCCCGGTCTGGGGGAAGTGCCTCGGCTCAGCCTCAGACGATACGGCCACGTCAGCCCCGTCAGCCCCTGCCACGAGGCCAGAAGAAGCAGAAGATAAGCTGTGGGAAAGGGTGGGACCGAGGCCAACGGGATAAGACACGTTCCCCAAACCGACCGAACCCGTGATCCCTGATGCCAGGATAGCTGGCCCAAGGCAGCACCCCAGGTCCTCCCAGCGGTGGGTTCCCCGACCCAGGCGCTCCCGATCAGCCCCGCCTACCCCAGGGTCCCTGGCACTGGGGACAGAGACCTGTGACATGAAGCTGGATCTGAGAATCACGGCCGGGCCTGGCGCTGCCACAGCTGTAGGTGCCCGCGTCCTCTGCCCACAAGGGGCTGATGACCAGGGAGCCATCAAGCTGCTGCTGGTGTCTGAAACGCAGAGGGCGTGGGTGAGGTGGGTGGGAGGGATTGAGTTCTGGGCTCGTGGGAACAGCAGTGAGTCCTGCCCCCACCCGTCAGGCCCCAAAGGGACTGCACCTGCACAGAGGGCTCTTGGCCACCGCGCCCCCCCCCCCGTCCGGAAGTGCAGGGGACACACAACACACCTGCCAGAGGAGACGGGCTGCCCATCTTTGAGCCACGCAGCACGAAAGTCCAGGGGGTTGTCACCCGGGCAGTAGAGCTGCACCAGCTGCCCCAGGGCGGCCTGCACCAGGGAGGGCCCTGCACCTGCCAAGCTAATCCTGGAGAAAGAGGTGAGGCTCTGCCTGCCTGCCATAACACCAGGCCCCACGACCACCCTTCGCCAGCGCGTCCCACCCGGCAGCCGGTTCCTGTGCTGTCGCTGACATGTATGAGGCCAGACGGTCCATTAAGAAGCCAAGCTGCAGGCGCCCCTAGACTCGGGAATCCGCCTTCCCCACACCCCCGCCCCCCACCCCCTTGTAGAAGCAGGGAGGTGCAGAGCCCAGGGGATGGGGAGAGGAGCGCCCTCTGTGTTCACGGGGGGGCGGGGGGGGACTTTAAATTCCAAAGGGGCATTTAGATACTCCCAAATTTGTCAGCAACACGATATTAAGAGTAACTAATGAATGAAGCCCACACCAAATCTGTGCCACCATTTTAAGGTCAAGAAACGGCCTTGAATGGACTGGTGGAGGGTGGTGGGCATTTGGCGAGGCACCTGGTGCGGTCACACCTGAAGAGGTGTGGCCCCGCTCTCCTACAACACACAAAGCTGGAAACTGACACTGCGTCTGAAAGAAAACAGGTCCAGAGACGTCAGGAGACTTGCCAAGGGCACGAAGCCAGTCAGCTTTCCAGCTAGACAGGCCCTGGGTCATACTGGCATCTGATCCAGAATCCAGGCACCACCCTCTGTGCCACCTGGCCTCGGGCGAGTCTCCCGTCTCAGGTCTGAGCCGCACCCTCTGCAGAGGGAGGGTAACGAGGCCCCCCAGGCGGAGCTGGCCGGAGGAGTCAGGCTCCGGGGCTGGAGGGAGGGCTGGCTCATCTCGGGGTGTATTCCACCAGGCTCAGCCCCCAGTCTGGGTCCCTGTTCACCAAGCTGGCAAGGTGGGCCTCACCTGTAAGAGGAGCTGTGGGCAGGTGGCCCGTGCTGCCCAGCATTGCCACCCAATCTGGAGGTGCTGGGCCCAAGCTCCCGGCTCCAGGCCCCAGTGTGGTGGGGTGCTCCGGGTCCAGGCTGCGGGTCTCGCCACCAGACATCCCCAGGCGACAAGGGCTTTCTCTGGGTGACCCCAGCCCTCGGCCTGCTGGCCGCCTCCTGGCCTCCAGGGCTGCCACTGCCATCGCCGTGGAGACTCTGGCCAGAGCCAGGTGTGGGCTGGGCGGGCCCGTGTCCGGGCCCCCGGCAGCTGCTCATGCACTCCTCCTCCGAGGCGAAGTTGTTGGCATTGCCGTGGCAGCCGCCGTACCAGAAGCGGTTACACCGGCCCACAGAGGGGATGAAGTACCAGCGGGCAGCCCAGTCTGTGCAGGAGCCGTGGGCACTGAGCAGCAGGCACCCCGCCGGATAGGCTGAGGGGCGGAGAACACACGTCACCCGGGTGCCAGGGGCAAAGCCGCACACACTGCCCACATGCCCTTGGCCTCAAAGACTCGGGAGCGAGGACCTGCCCAGTTGGTGGGACATGTCACACCCCTGACCTGCCCGGGGGGTGGGCACCAGGCATGAGCCCCCAGTTTGCAGCTGGAGCCACAGGCAGCCTCCGGGGCTAACCTGTCCGCCTGCACCCACAGAACAAAAGCCACCCAGAGGCCAGGCCATGAGCCCCCTGGCCTGGCTCCTTCGTGCACCACCCCGTTCCTTCCCCAGCCCCCGAAGTGCACACAGCAACCCCAGGAGCCTTCATGCCAAGTTTGGCTCATGATAGGAACCCAGCCCTGAGTTTCCTGGGGCAAATGAAGACGCCCAAGAGGCCTGCCCTTGTCCCCAGAGCCCTGCTCCACCTCCCCCAGGCCCAGCATGCCCGCCAAAGGGGCCGCCCTCTCCAGCTGCCCAGTCCCTTGCTGCCCTTCTGACCTCCACAACCCCAATGGCCCCGGCCACCCCACCGAAGCACCCCACACGCCTCCCTCCCGGACACATCCCATGCAGGCTGGGGACACCACTGACCACCCCACACCAGCTCTACCTCTGCAGGGGGCAGAGGCCCAAGGGGACAGGATGGGCCTTCTTTCCCTGGGATGTCTGCCCAGAAGCCCCCACCCCAACTTGCACGAGCCACTGGAGGCCCCAGGTTCAAACTGGGGAAATGACCAGAGTCTGGCATTGCTGTCTTCTAGTAGGTGATCAACAAACATGGAAGAAACGAATGAGTAATAGCCAATAGGAAGGTCACCTGCTGGGGAGGCCAAGGTGGGGCAGCGAAGGGACAACAGTGGGGCCAGACTCCAGTCAAAGGCGGACGCGCAGGGGCCTCCACTCACCGAAGCCAGGCTGGCCCACACAGCCTTCCCCAAGGGGACCAGCCGCCGGGGCCACACCGTCATAGCAACAGCCGAACCGGGAGCCCCGGCACTCCCTGGACTCATTCTCCTGGGCCTGGGCTTGCTGGGCCTGCTGGGCCTGCTGGGCCTGGTGGGCCTGGTGGGCCTGGTGGGCCTGGGGAGAAAGCCCAAGGTTAGAGGGCTGGGCAGCTTGGCATAAGTGTTGGTCTCTCAGGGGAAGCAGGCTGCCAGAGGACAATGACCCAACCCGGCCCACAGACACCGCCCTTCTCCAAAGCCAGAGCAGCACAGAGCCCAGGTCACGGGGCACTGAGCAGGCTTGGGGGCTGGAGCCCCAGGTGAACCAGACACTTACTGCAGAAGCCACGGCTCTCGACCCCAGCCTCCTCCCGGCGCCGTCACTACAGCCAGCCTGATGGGGCCCCGGAGCTGCAGACACCCCGTCAGGGCAGCACCCGTACCTAGACAGACAGGACACTCTGGCCCTCGCTGCCAAACACCTCCCCTTCCTCCTGGGGACCCCAGGCTCCTGGCATCCCAGGGCCCAGCTCTGTGACGCCCTGTGTGCAGAGGCCACGCCCTTGTGCACACCCATCTCTGCCCACATCCTGCTGATCCGTGGCTCCAAGAGAGGGCAAGAGCCACACACTGGCTGTACCCCTCACGATGGACAGACCCTCAACGCACACATCCTGTCACAAAACTGAGGAGGGGACATCATCTGAGCCTGCCCAAGCATCAGGCTCCAGGGAGTTTTTACAAAACAGCAGTTTTACAAAACGGCAGAAGAGGGTGTGAAACAGGCCCACCGCTTATTCCAACCCCCAAGCAGGAGTTGGGAAGACAGGTAAAAGGCGCACACGAGAGGCCCTGTGCGCCCAGGCACCACCTGCAGCCGGAAGAGGCAGGCCAGAGAGGACACACGTCGTGCCCTAAGCACCCAACGGCCGCTGGTAAAAGGCTGGGCTGGGACTCGCCCCCAGGTGTCCGGGCCCTGGCCTGGGGGACTCAGCACACAGCTCCTGAGCCAGGGCGCCAACAGGGCCAGCCCTGGAAAGGGGAGCCACAGAGAGGGCCCTGGGGAGCCCTCCTGCAAGGCGGGAGCGGGTGACTGTTGGAAGCGACAGCAAGTCTGTTGGGCCTTTACTCTGGCCCCTGCCTAGTTGGGGCTGCAGGCTGGAGTCACATCCTCAGAACTGCCCAGAGCTGCAGGCGACAGCACAACAGGCTGATTTGTGCAGAGAAAGGGGGGATTTTTATCCCCATTCAGCACGTTAGGAAGCCCGGAGGGGGGGGTTCCCAAGACTGCACAGCAGACAGCTGGGGAACACCGTCTGGGAGCCCTTCCCCAGCTCCGCTCAGCCTCGGCGCCCGCCCACATGACCGCCACTGGCACCTTCCACTCGGCCCACAGCAGGTGTCTGGGCACCCACCTGCTCTGCTGACAGGGCACGCCGGGGCAGCCCTGCCACTGCGGCCCACCAGAGGCGGTGTGGCCATCAGGACAGCACCCGTGGGGGCTGTGTCTGCAGTCACCGGCCTTCTGGCCAGGCCACAGAGGCTGCTGGTGCAGGGACGGCTGCCGTGAGGGGGCTGGGCCCCAGGCTCGCAAGTGGGGGCCCTGGTCTCCTCTGGGGTTACCCAAGGCTGAGGGGCGCTCTTGGGGTTCTCCCAGCTGGTCTCCAGAATCTAGAAAGAAAACAGAGACGCATGGATGTGTCCAGCTGGCTCTCCGACCTCTGTGTCCGCGCCACACCCGCCTGTCTCCACCCCCAGCCTCCATCCCCTTGCGCCATCCCCCCGACACGACACGGAGGATGGGCTCTGTGCTGGGGGCTCCAGCTGAACTTCTCACCCGAGGCCAGGGTCTCCTCAGGACCCAAAGGCAGCCAGGGGTCGCTGGAGCTGGTGTGCACGCTGGGAACATCTGTAGGGAACAGGGACAGAGGGACTGATGCCCAGGCAAGGGGAGGACGAGAGGAGTGGGCCCAGGCAGGGCCTGGGGACTGGCACTTGCTTCCTCACTCTGCTCAGCAGGGCGGGGGGGTGGGGGGAGGGGGCCAGGCCAGCCAAAAATAAAGTGAGCATCTAGTTTTGACCCCCAACAGCATAAAACAAAAAAAGCTATACAATTTTTAAAAATTCATTGGACACAAAGATAAACAACCCAACTTAAAAAATGGGCAAAGAAGTTGCACGGACATTTCCCTAAAGAAAGACACGGCCAAGGAGCACGCGAAAAACGCCCCCAGGGCTGGTTGCTCAAGAAATGCGGCTCAAAGCTGCAGCGCGCTGCCTGCCCCATCCCCGCGGACCCCCCAAGCCCCCACCC